ATGAGAATTCAATTTTGAGAAACATTTAAGTATTCAATAAATAATTTACTTTTGTATTTAAATAATTGAATTCTCGTAGAATTTTCTAATTGAAATTTATTTGAAAATTACTTACAGAATAATTGATTTACTATTTGTAAAAATAATTGAATTCTTGCAACGAATTTTATTACATTTTTTTAAATAATTGAATGTAACTTGTAAAAATAATTGAATTCTGGCGAACGATTTTATTAGGATTTTTGTAAATAATTAACTTTCTTTTGAAAAAATTTATTTTTTATTTAATGATTAAATATTTATTTAAAAAACAAGTTATTAATGTTTTTGAATAATTTTACAATTAAAGAAATTTGTAAATTATTTTAATAGAACATTTGTTTGAGTATCTAATAGTTTTTAGCGTGAATCAGAATATTCTTTAGGGTCAGGGAAAAAGTGAAAATTTTGTCTGAAAATCAGGGGAAAATAAAATTAAATATTTGTGGCAACCCTGATTAGATAAATTATTCCCAATTTTACTTTCTTTTTTTCCTGTAAATATAAAAAATGTAATATTTTCAAAACAAAAAGAAATCTACAATTGTGTTTATAAGTTTTCCTATTACTTTGATTTTCGCCCCTCCAAAAGTTGTAAAAATAATAATTGATCATTAAGTTTATTTTAAAAATTTACTTATCATTTTTCAAATTAAAAATATATTCGAATTTTCAAAATAAACACTATCACTTTTTAATTGTAAATTTCTTCTAGAGACGTATTAAAAATGTACTAGCTTTTAATTATAATCATTATTCGTAGGAAGAAAATGAACCAGATTATTTTCTTTTTGGCGCAAATGACGAGGATGTTTTTGAAGATCCTGTCTCAGAAGAAGTCGAGGAAAATTCAAAATCTTTTACTTTTAAAGAATTTATAGACAATGAATTATTTAAAAAACCTATTACAGTTAAAGCAAACAAAACTATCGGTGAATTAATTTTAATGATTATGAAATTTATTCTTGTTCATGCTCTTTCTCTGACTGAAACAACTGATCTTTTTCTTATGATTAATTGTATTTTTGCTGAATCCATTTTGCCAACAAGCAAGTATTTGATAGATAAACTCTTTTATCCAAAAAATACAATGACACTTCACGCGACTTGTACAAAATGTGGTTCATATATAGGAAAATTCGATCGAAATACTCGGTTTCTCAAATGCAAAATACGCAAAACGCAAATTAATGTTAAAAATCAATCATATAAAGACTTCTTTGTTATGATGAATGTTGCAACTCCAATTTCTAAACTAATCGAATCAAACAGTACATATTATGACAATATAGTAAATAATAGAGTGTATGAAAAATGTAAATTTCGGGACATTTATGATGGCAGGAAATATAGAAAATTCGTAAAGAATTTAAGTGAATCTGATAAACGTAATTATGCAACACTAGTTTTTAATACTGATGGTGCACCTCTGTTCACAAGTTCATCCTATTCTATCTGGCCTATCTTTTTGATGGTTAATGAAGTACCATTTAAGGTCCGAACCAAAGAATTAATCCTTGCTGGGCTCTGGTTCGGAAAAGATAAGCCAGATATGAATGTATTTCTTAAACCGTATGTAGACGAGATGCGCGAACTTTCAACAAAAGGAGTCGAATGCGTCATAAATGGAGTAGAAAGAGTAATTAAAATTTTTAATTTGATTTGTTGCGTGGATTCGGTAGCCCGTGCACCAGTTCAAGGTTTTACCCAATTTAATGGTAGATATGGTTGTAGTTTATGCCTTCATCCGGGTGAGTGGGTTAAAAATAGTAATTTGAATGAGCGATCTGGAAACATTAAATATCCCATAATGAAAGAAGCTCCAAAAAAAAGAAACGTCGAAGATACTCTCAAACATATGAAAACTGCTTCTACTTCGAAAAAACCTATTTTTGGAGTTAAACGTCCATCACAATTGATAAAATTGTTAAATTACGACATAATTTATGGTTGTGTTGTAGAGCCCTTGTATTGCTGCTTTGGAATTGCGAAGCAATTCGCAGCTATGTGGTTTGGAACTGTAAAAAAGGTTGGATTATTATCAAGAAGCCATATTCCTAACATCGATGAAATTATGGCTACTTTTAAAGCACCCAACCAAATTTCTCGACTCACTAGAGCATTCTCTGAACGAGCATATTGGAAGGCCCGTGAGTGGGAAAATTGGCCCCTTTATTACAGTTTGATTGTTCTTAAGGACATTGTACCAGAAAATCTGTTGATGCACTGGGCTCACTTTGTTGAAGCTATTTACATTTTATCAAAACAAGAACTTACAATTATTGAAATTGATTATGCTCACAGGTTACTTCACGAATTTGTCGGTCGTGTAGAACTACTGTATACGAAAGTATCAATGACATTTAACGTCCACTTGCTCTTACATCTAGCACAGACTGTTTTAGACTGGGGTCCACTTTGGTGTCATGACGCATATTCTTTTGAATCTGGAAACGGGGATTTACTGAAAGTTATACATGCCGCTAAGGGAATTCATAGCCAAATATGTCGACGTATTAGCATAAAGTATACTTTTCTTACGTTGAAAGAGCATATCTATCCTTTTTATTCATTTCCTGTAAGACATTTTTGTGATACTATAGGCACAAAAGTAGCTAAAAAGACTATCCAAACCGAAAATGTTCGCTATTTTGGTTCATCATTACAACTGAGCAAATTATGGTCACAAAAATTGAACTTATCTGAATATGCATCCTTGTATAATAAAATAGTTAAACATGGTTGTCTGTACATGACTTCCACAAAAATCAATCAGCGTTCAAACAATTCTTTTGCTCAGTTGCAGGATGGCACATATGTAAAATTAAATTCATTTGTAGTTGATACCAGTATAAATTCAGAATACATGCTAGTTCAAGTAATTCAAACATCTAACACGTATGGTAATGCTTACAGTATGTTGCAAAAAATTTGTAAGATTGATGAAGAAGAAACAGCAGTACCAACTGACAATATTGCCAGGGTGTGTGTACACATACAAAACAAAAGTAATGAATATCTCTGTGCAGTTCCTAATTTATGTCATTATTGATAGAACCGTAAATTTACCTTTATCATTGCTCCATTTTATCATCAATAGATAATAGACATAATAAATAATGCATACAATTCGTATAAATTTGATATTGAAAACTTTAAATGAGTATAATTAATTTTATTGATACAGACGAAATATTCGCGTGGAAAACGAACTATGGGCAAAAGATAGCAAAACATGGCAAAACCATGGGCATAGATTTCGGCCAAAGTTGATCAGTTTTCAGCCATACTTACAAAGCATGGGCAAAATCTAGAGAACCATTGCTAATGAGCGTTTCCCATACTTCGGAACTTTGGCAAAAACATGGGAAAAGTATGGGAGCAAAAAAATCGTATTTTTTTATATTTTTGAAAAGAAAAAGTTTGTCATTCTAAAGCATGGCAAAAACGTGGGAAAAGTATGGGAGCAAAAAAATCGTATTTTTCCTATTTTCGAGAGAAAGAAAATTTTATTCTAAACCATGGAAAAAAGGTGGGAAAAGTATGGGAGCAAAAAAATCGAATTTTTCCTATTTTCGAGAGAAAGAAGACTTTTATTCTGAAGCATGGCAAAAACATGGGAAAAGTATGGGAGCCAAAAAATTGTATTTTTTTTATTTTTGAAACGAAAAGTTTGTCATTCTGAACAATGGCAAAAAGGTGGGAAAAGTATGGGAGCAAAAAAATCGTATTTTTCCTATTTTCGAGAGAAAGAAAACTTTTATTCTAAACCATGACAAAAAGGTGGGAAAAGTATGGGAGCAAAAAAATCGTATTTCTCTTATTTTTGAAAGGAAAAAGTTTGTCATTCTGAACCATGGCAAAAACATGGGAAAAGTATGGGAGCAAAAAAATCGTATTTTTCTTATTTTTGAAACGAAAAAGTTTGTCATTCTCAACCATGGCAAAAACATGGGAAAAGTATAGGAGCAAAAAATCGTATTTTTCCTATTTTTCAGAGAACGAAAATTGCTATTTGAAGCATGGCAAAAACATGGGAAAAGTGTGGGAGCAAAAAAATCGTATTTTTTCTATTTTCTAGAGAAAGAAAACTTTTATTCTGAATCACGGCAAAAACATGGGAAAAGTATGGGAGCAAAAAAAATCGTATTTTTCTTATTTTTGAAACGAAAAAGTTTGTCATTCTGAACCGTGGCAAAAACGTGGGAAAGGTATGGGAGCAAAAAATCGTATTTTTCCTATTTTCGAGAGAAAGAAAACTTTTATTCTGAACAATGGCAAAAACATGGGAAAAGTATGGGAGCAAAAAAATGGATTTTTCTTTTTTTTTGAGAAAGAAAATTTTTATTCCGAAGCTTGGCAAAAACATGGGAAAAGTAATGGAACAAATAAATCGTATTTTTCTTTGTTTGGAGAGATTGAAAATTATTATTTTGAACCTTGGCAAAAAAAATGGGGAATAAAATGGGAATTTTACTTAGCCAAAAAATCGTCTTTTTGTTATTTTTAATATTAAAAAAGTTATTCTGAACTTTGGGAAAAAACTGCTTTTCTGATTTTTAACCACAAGTCAAAGATGTACAGATTCTCTAAAAATTGATTTATTATTTTCTTATTTTTAATACAAATTTCTTATAAAGTTATTTTTAAGCAGTAGTTGGTACAGTAGTAAATGTGAAGTTTTTTTAATTGTTTCGAAATCTTATTCAAAATATTAAAAAATTAGTTTTTTTAGATTGTTTATTGTATTTTAAATTGTGGTAATCTTTAAATGAGGATTGACAAAATTAAAAATTCAATGTTTGTTTTAATAATTAATGAAAAAATATAATTTTATAATTTTGTTTGTTCATTGTGACTTTAAAAAAGTGACAATTTAATTAATTAATTAATTAATTTAATTTAATTAAATAATTTAATAAGAATTTAATTACTTTTAATTTAATTTAATTTAATTTAATTTAATCTTCTTCTGATTCTTTGTTTTCGTATTCATCCGAATCTGCCTCTGTTTCATCGCTATCATCTTCATCATTTTTTGATACTTCGCTGTCATTTTGCTCATCTCCTGTCTCGTCTTTATTATCTTCATTTATCTCTGTTCCTTCGCTGGCATTTTTTTCTTCTCTTAACGGTTTTTTGGTATCTTTTTTTTCTATTTTTTGTTCTTTTCTTACTGTTTCTTTTTCTTCTTTGTCACTCGTTTGCGTATCGCTTTCATCATCATCTTTGATTATTGCTGTTCTCTTTGTGATTTTTTTTTATTTTGATTATTTTCTCTTTTTCCTTGATTTGTAGATTTTTTTTGATCTTGATTGTCTTTTGGATGTCTCAAGGTCCCGCAGGTATTATTTATTAATTTGATCATGTCAGTTTCTTCAAATTTAATGGATTTATTTTGTTTTTGTACGTAATCTGAAAAATATTATACACTGCTCACTCAAATTATAGTTTTGTAGGTTTATTATTTGTTTAATTTATGTTTTTATAATTATATGATTTATTTTGTATTGAAATAGACATTTTAATGTTCTGATGACACAGGTCTGTCGAAACGTTAAAAATTTTGTGCTTTACTTTCACATTTTGTATTTGTTTATTTTTTACTTACGTTGAATTGCAGCTCTTACTTCTGCAGGGACAGCTGTTTTATTCTTACTTCTCCCTTTAGCACACATGTTCGCCAAGTTTTCTTTTCCACAAATTTCATATAATAGAGATCTCGCCAATTCTTTTGGTTTATTTTTGAATCTCTTCATTAAGAAAAGTTGTGAAGATTTTACGTATACAGGTAGTCCTGTTTTTAATTGTGTTTTTGGTTCATCATTATCTGGTTGGTCCTATAGATTGAATAATATTATTATGTCAAGGTAAATATAACTTGATATATATAAAAGATATTTCTTTAAATTTATATAAAATGTGAAACATTTAATTGCAAAATACTTGTAAGTTGTTACTAGCTGAAGCTGTAGAAACTTGTGAATTAACTGGTGAATCAGTTTGAGTCGAAAGTTTTGTTCTTAAAAATTTTGTCATCTTCTCGAAGAAAAGTAGTGTTTCTGGATTTACGACTTCCAAAAAAAGAAAGAAATTAATGAGAAATGTACATAATAAATATGAAATGAAAAACACAGTAAAAACTTGGACTTAAAATGAACTGAACAGCAAGATTATTTTGATCACATCCCTATAACAGCAAAGAATATTCAAGGATATCCTAAGGAAGTCGTATTCATTTCCGGAATTTTGGATATCCCTATTATATCATTAAGATGTCTCAGGACATTCCTGAAAGATTCTGTGCATAATTATAATAGTTTCCGGATATCCTAAATATCTAGATGCTCTTAGGGATTTTAGTTTGTTTAGCATTGGTTTATTTTGAATTGCAGTAAAAATGAGTCCATGTTATTTCTGTTAATTATTAATTAAAAGCAATAATGTACACTTTTTAAATTATTTATCAGTCATTATCATTGAAACTAAGCGTACCTAAATCTGCGAAAAGTGACTCAAAAATGCAGTGAGGTTTATCAGACTCGCAAGTTTTACTGCTCCCATCTTCTTTATCTATATCAACAATTATCATTTTCAAATAAATTTTACACTATTTTAATTACTTTTGATTAAGCATATGGCTTGAGGTTAGCTTAGAATACATTAAAAATAAAAGGTTAATTAGATATTAGGTTTGAAAGATTAGTTAGACATAATGTAATTTAGTTATATTATATTATATTCAATTTGACGAATTATTTCTAAATTATTAAAGGTTTAATTTATATACTTCCTGAATCATTTTTAATAAATATACCAGAAATTAATGATGGAGTTTGAATTAAATTTGTAGCGTTATCAACTTTAAAATTCTCCGTTGTGAGATTTTTTTCTAGATCGTCGAGTTTAAACTTCTTAACTGTAATATAATTAATAAATAATTAAAGAAACAAGATAATAATATTTTGTCTATCTACACTTTAAAAAAGGGAGTTCTAGTGGGAGTTAATAAAAATTAGTTAATTCAACTTTAAAATTCAATACATAAACTCCTCAATTATAAAATAACTCCAAGGAAGAAAAGAAAAATATTTTTTCCAAAATTTATTAAAATTTGTTTCGCTTAACCCATATCTTGATTTTCATCTGTAGCACTTGATGCTCTTTTTCGAGTGTCTTCTGTGTGCGATATGCGTCCCAATGGATCAACAATTTCTCCAGATAATGTATCTATTATTTAAACAAATATTTAATACTTGCAAATTGTAATATATAGGAAAATTTATCTTTTATATACCGTCAACTGGGGCTATTTTGTGCATCCGGGGGCTATTTTGTGCACGCGAGTTTTTTAATGAAAAAAATTATTAAAATGAATTATTTTAATCTGCTATTTTGTAAAATGAAAGTTTGATTACATGACAATAGAGAGCACTAAATGTTATTATTTAATTCTTTGGCAATTAAGAGAAAAAAATTCCTAAAAACGGAAAATTTGTTTAAAAAATTTTGAAAGTTCGGAAAAATTATACCAGATCTTCTAGAGTTTTAATGTGTCTCATAAACTGTGTTAGATATTTGTTTTCAATTGTGTTATGATGATACATACGTAATGCGCTAACTTTTTATTCATTATTTTAAGAGAAAAGTGGAAAAAACTGAAAAACCAGGATTCCATGGGGCTATTTTGTGCACTTAAAAAAATCAAATATTTTTCATAAATATTTTATTCAGTAAGTAAAGAAGATTCTGTTTATCATTTTTATACATTTTTGTCTTACTTTTCTGTCAAAAAACTGTAAATACGTTAATTAAAATCATTAAAACGATTAAAAGCTCTACCGGTGCACAACGTAACCTCAAAAAATGAACTTTAATTAATATTTATAAGTTTTTCAAATTAGTTTTAAAACTATTTTTTCGTTTCTCTTGAAATAACTTGAAAATCATATTAGATATTAAATTGTTATATATTTAACCTTAAAAATATTTATTTCAAGTTTTTTAAAAATACCATTCAAAACCATTAAAAAAGCTCCTATTGAAATGATGTTTTAAAGTTATTTATAAGTGTTTAAACGATCATTTTATAATTATATTAGTGTATTATTATAAAATATATATTAAAAAAGAAAAAAATTTTATTTACTAACTGCGTAATATACAATTTAAAGAAAGATTGTTAATTTTTAATAAATCCAGATTTTAGCAAAATTTTAGTGCTTTATTTTACATTTTTTGTATAATATATCTACAAAAAACATTTTTCTAGGTCATTCTTTTTTTAATTTACTCTCAAATATATACACAAAAGATTTCATGAAGCAGAAACGATTAAAAAAATTGTTTACGCAACATTATAGAAAAACAAAGTTCGATGCACAAAATAGCCCCATCCCGGGAGTTATTGTGTTCACGACTTTCAATGACTATAACTAAGACAAAAAAATTTTTTTCTTTGCAAAATTTATAGGAAACCTTCAGAAGGATGTCCACAACATATATCAAAAGTTGATTTTCTTTATTCTCTTAATTCTGAATTTAAATAAATCTTTGAATAAAAAAAAAGCTATTTGGTGCACAAAATAGCCCCGGTTGACGGTACTTTTAAAGAAACTAAATAAATATGAAAGTACTTTAAGAAGGACCTATAGATAAAAAAAAATTTTTAAAATCGATATTTTTCTTTAAAATAAAAAAATTTCGGTTATCTCGGAATCTAGAACCGTCAAAGCAGACCATTTTTATGCAAACATCCACATTATTAATTAAAACACTGAAAGAAAATAAAATACCTTCTACTGCGCTTGGAACTTTGTCCTGACAAGCAGGTTTCAAAATTTTAAACTTAGAAGGAATAACTTCAGATTTAATTATTGTTATTTTCTTTTTTGCTGATTCATTTGATTGGCTAGTTTTGATAGATGTTTTTGTTTTATCATTTTTATTGGGCAATTTTTTCTCACACTTGGTCTCATTACTTTTAGTAGCTACTTGTTCGTAAATAAAAGAAAATTGTTTTAGATTTCGACAACTTATTTTCTGCTTTTTTGTTAGGGTTGTCAAACAAAAAAGTCTAATAGAAATAAATATAAGATAGGGGAGAGTGGGGCAAAATGGGGTACCTTTTTGTAATTGGCTGTTTACAGAGAACCAAACAAATAAATCGATTCAACTAACCATCAGAATTCTTCTTTGTACTCTTAGGTTTAAGAAAAATATGATAATAGCGAAGAAAAAAATTTTTGAATGAACTTATATCCCATTTTCTGAGAAGGTGCTACAACCCCATTTTGCCCCATGGGTGGGGCAAAATGGGGTGGTACCAAATTACCATACAAAACCTGGAATATTTTTTCAAAATTTGTTAAATTCTTGTTGTAAGAGATTGTAAATACAAACAAAAAGTAAGATTCTTTATTATTATAAAATTATTATTATATTAAATATGCATAATATAATGGTTTTAAGTAGTTCAATGAATATTGAATACCACCCGGTATAGCCCATCACATAGGTACCCCATTTTGCCCCACACTGCATATTACAACAAAATGTAATGTTTACAAATTGTTGTAAACAATTTAACAATCTATCCTATTGGAAATTACGCTCTACAATAAGTGCTGGAAAAGATCCCATACTAGCCGAATTAAATAAATTATCCCAAAAAGTTTTATAAGCACTTTAATTTCTAAAAAAATCGATATTTTTTATGCTCAAAACTTTAAAGTTGTATAACTTTAAAAAAAAAATTTCATAGTGTTCTCATAATTAATAACAATTTCTTATCAATATGAATGATATATATCGCGGATAAAAAAATTAAAAGTACCCATCATGGAGAAACAGAGCTAACCCATTTGACCCGCCTACCTCTATTTTGCCCCACTCTCCCCTACATAGGTAGAAGCAAACAAATAGATGAGAAGCATATATACACACAAAAAATACTGGTAAAAACTACTTTTTAATATTTCTTGCAATTCCCAGGAGGCACCAGTAACAAAATTTAGAAAAAATAGCTATGACGGAATAGTTAATCTAACTGTAAAATGTAGTAAAAATACCATTTTTTACAATAAAAATTTAATTAATAAAAAATTATTTTAAATATTTTTTTTAGTCATATTAACTGTTTTATTTGGTTGTAATAACTAATTTTTAAAGTTCTAGGAGGCTTCCATAACAAATTGATTATTTGAAGTAGGTAATATAATGAAATTATTTGTTTATATGTTATTACTGAGGACCATTTTTTACATTTTCCCCTACCTACTTTTGTTTAAATATGCTTTGTATATTTAATTGCTATACACCTATCCGAGAAAAATCGCCAAACGCCGGGTATTGAACGCATGATTTTAAAACATTCGCAAACCGAAAACCAAAGCTAATTCCAATTGTTTTTCTGTGTAGTAAAGAATGGCCCTTTCAACTCAGAAATAGTAAAAATAACTACTTTCAACATTTGATTTTATGGGCGACCGGGGCGTAATTTATTTATTAACATTTTAGAAATAGGTTTTTAAAGTAAGCGAGCCACTACTACACATATATTTTTACCAATCGTATTTTTGTCTGTCTCAGTATTTTCCGCGCTCTTTTCAATATTTCCAATATGACCTTTATTTGAAGTGGAGGCTGTTCCGACTAATTGTGAAAATTGCTGTTGAAAAAATTTTCTTGGCGAATTACGCATTTTTTTATGCAATGCTGTTTCTGCCTTTTTTGCCGCATCTTCTTCACTTTCTCCATCATCAGTTCCTTTTATTTCATTCAAATGTTTTGTTTTAACTACAAAGTTAAAACATTCTTTTAATATTATTTTTATTTTTATTATTAACATTTTAGAAATAGGTTTTTCTTAGTAAAGTAAGCGAGCCACTACTACACATATATTTTTACCAATCGTATTTTTGTCTGTCTCAGTCTTTTCCGCGCTCTTTTCAATATTTCCAATATGACCTTTATTTGAAGTGGAGGCTGTTCCGACTAATTGTGAAAATTGCTGTTGAAAAAATTTTCTTGTCGAATTA